AAAAAGTACGAGTATCTAGAACGCGTCGCGTAATCAGTTTTTTAGCTGCGATCTGCAAAAAGTTTTCTTCGCCTTTCTTTTTTTCACAGTTTTAGTTTACAGAGTCAGCACTTTTGTGGCTAAAATGATTATGAAATGATGCGAAACTTTCCATTTCTATGCGTTTCATTATTCTGCGTGGGTAGTTCGAATAGTTCTCCTGTCGAGTACTCACCTTATAGCGTATATAGTTTCACAGTTATCACAGGCTAACACACACTCAGACACTCTCACACTCCCAGAAGACAAACACCTACAGGTCTTGGTTTTGTGGGATTTTTTTTTCTCAGTTTGGTCGGAAGGTGATTTCAAAAATTAACTGCCAATTCTTGGAAACGGGCGTCGATGAAGACGACGCTTTTTTCCTACCTATCCAACGCTCTGGCAGCAGAATGTTAATAAACGCCGTTTGAGCTACGGATTTGGCTAAGAGAGTTGTTGGCCAAACAGCACCGCGACTTGTTGCTATGTTTGTCTGTGGAATCTTTTTCTTTTTTTTTTCTACCCAGTGTCTACTTCTTGAATATTAAATAACTTTTTTTCGCCAGTTGTGCTTTCCGCTTTCCTGGTTTATTGGCCGAACCCGCAAATTACAATATAACTTTCGCACGGAGCGGAAACGCTTAGATTATGATCGGGTAGAACTTCACTTTCGTCACGAACATAAAATACAGAATGCCGTTAAACCCGTTTTCAAGAATGCAACCCGCGACATAAGAATACCAATATATGTATTTGTAAATAAAAAAAAATCTTGTGTTTGTTGTGCTTAGACTGTCGCCTGCCTGCGGTTTATTAATAAACAAATTTTTTTTTATTAACGGAAAATGACTCGAATTACGTGCGTGTGTAACGACGAAACTGATATTCAAAACCGTGTTTTTTTTGTATACACAACCAAAAAAGCCAACAACAAAGGCAACCGGTATGCAAGGAAGAGTTTTTCGAAATTTTCGTTTTTCGATGCGACGCCAGAAAAACGATGAAATTACGTATACGCCTGTGTCTGACCACAAAGAACGCCGAACAACAACTGAGGGCCCGAAGCTGAAAAGCAACAGAAAAGCACTGTGTTACTGGCCAATACAGGGTGCTGCGGAAAAACCAGTTTACTGTGGGGCTCTCGCTCTTTGTGCAACCACCCCCTTACTTGGCCCCCTCGCAGTGGCAGTCAACACTCGGCTCTCTCTCTCGCTCACGAAAAGCGAAAGCCATCGTCCAATCAGAATCCATAAAATACACGTGCTCGTCGCTGGGAGTCTGACGGGTGATGGATTAGGGGGCCTGGGGGCTGGCTGGGGTCCAGCGTTTTAGCAAAATTTCTCTGTTTTGATTTCCGTGCCAGGCACTCTCTTAGCCAGAAGAAGATGCTCCTAAGCCCCACAGGGTAAACATGGTCAAATATTGTCAAATGATATGAAGGAAGAATCTTAACATGTTCATGGTACTAATATAAAATATATTTATAAAAAAAAGTGAATACTTTTTTGAGACTAAAATAAAAATTAAAATTCCATTAATTAGGAAATATTTAAATTTAATATTTTAAATTAGAATGTACATAATTAAGTAGAGATAAGTAAAACCTTTAATAAAATAATAAATAACATCTAAACAGTCTGAAATTTCATATAATACCATATCATTTAACATTTCAAAGAATTTAATAAATTTTGTAATGATTCTATTGCTATATTCCAAAAATTTTCAAAATATGTAAGCCATTATGCGGTTATCTCAAGCTTAGTTCTAACAAAACTGGCATTCCTCCTACAGAGACAGAGACCTCACCGCAAACCTAATAAATATGCCCAAATCAAGGTTGACAACTAAATTCTGTACATACCGAAAGTAACCGAATATATGGAGATATGGAGAAAGGCTTTTCAACCTGAGAGGCTTGTGTTTTGAGTCTGACAACTCATTCCGCTTGTATCCGCAAATATCCGCGCATAATTCAGCCCAACTCCGCCGGATATGAGGGCACGTGTGCGATGGTAGGGATGGGTGGCTTGGTGGGTTGGTTTTTGGCAGGAATCGTATTCATGGGAAATATGCAAAAGCATGAAACCGCAATCATATAAAGGGCAGGCGACCCACACCTAAAAAGGATGACAAACAAGCGAAAACTCGATAAAGGATGCGGCCGGGTTGCCTGGCAAACGACTCGGAATACAGACAACGGAACAGGAGCTTAGTGGGCAAAAGGATATGCAAGGATAAATGTTCCTGAAATCGGTGACTCGGAGGAAATGCATTCAAACATCGCCAACTGGGCAAATATTTGCAGTATTTTAATTACATTTTTTTTTGTCGATGGTCCAAAGTTTCGAGAACAGTGCCACAGGAATAGAGATTGGAAATTAAAAGAGGCAAGGAACAAGTTCAAATTCCCGTCGCCCGTCGCCAGTCCTCTTCGCATCGCCTTGCCACCCTTTAGGTGGCCACTTTTTTAATTAAAAAGGCGAACAACTGAAAATGGCGCCCGCAAAATGGCGTACAATTTCACAGCTTAACAGGGACAAACTTTTTGGCCGGCCAACTGACAAAACTTTAAATGCGAATGGCAGTCATGGCCAACACACGTGTGTCTGCCAGCCACACAGATATTTTTGGGTATCTTTAAGGCCTTGAAGGCCACTCAAAAGCCGTTCAATCATGGCAAGTTCTCCCCTTTGGCCTGCGTCAGTTTTCACTTAACACATTGTCGAGGAATCTTAGGCAACCCTACTTAGGATTCGGTTTCAGGTTTCAAGTGGCAGCAGCCTCAATGGGATATAAACTTTTTTTCCATTTTTTTTTTACATTCGGAAAACTTTTCAACGAGTGGCACTTCAGGGGTGGATGCATGAGCCCATCGAGTCAACAGCTTTAAAGCTGAATCAATTAATAACTTTTCACTCAAACATACGAGAGGCGCCTAAAAGCAGACTCATTATTGTATGTATAAATTATATTACAAGAGGTCGGAACAGCAATGGGAAAAAATGGAACGGCAACGAAACTCATTTGACATAAAAATATACTGCACATGCTGGGCTACAAGATGTGAACTTGATAAGCTTCTGGATTTTTTTGGGGGGGAAGCAGGATAAAACCAATAAATTTATTGTCGCAGGACTCGTGTGGGGGGAGAACCAGGAGGGGCTCTGGCAGCTGCCGCTCTGATCCCGTCTTTTGTGTTAACGCTTCGTTAAATCTGCGTTAATTTATGTGGGCGTGGCTGGGACGTTGTGCCTCCGGGCCAGAAGCCAAATGACTTTGATAAACCAAATTGTCTTCTCCGGGAAAAGTCGTAGTCGTAGGCCGGTGAGTCGTAAAATGTATGCTAAGAAGGCTAAGGTAGGAGCGACGGCAAATCAATCAACAAGGCAAATAAATACAATTAATGTTACATTACGCATACGCCACGTTGCACAGCTGGAGATGGAGTTTTTTTGCCTTCGTTCTTTGGCATAAATTATGCCAGGCAACAATTCTTTGCAATATTATGCATGTCAACGAAAATGAAAGAAAAAATAAAGCTTCTCTTTTACTTTTTCCAGCAGCATCTTGTACATGTATATTTTTTCTTTCTGCAAAACCCCCACTATATGCAGAAACACGCACATCGCACTGAATGCCGGGAAATATGAATAAAAGAAAATCAAATATGCACTCGCGTGAAAATTAATGCGACACGCTTTTCAAGCCTTCTCCCACTCGGTGCTCGGCGCTCGACGCTCGACACTCAGAACTTGGGACTTGGAGCCCACAACTCGACTCGTTCAACATTTTCTCCTCATTTTTCTCGCTTTTGCACATTTAACTTGTTTAATTGGTGGAGAAGCAGCGCTAAAATGGAAGTGCAAACCTAGAAAATGTTCATCCAGGAAGCGGAAATAGGAAATGGGGCACAAAGTTGTTCAAGATTTTTTGTTGGTTTGGATTTCATGTACATGTAAAATAATAAATAATTCATGTCAAAGCAATTAGTGATTCTACCACAAAACAATAATTGGAACCTGTTGAAGCCAGGTACTTTATATCAATCATAGATTTCAATGTATTTTGTTGGCCAACATCAACAAACCGAAACCGAGATGAATGAATTGCAAACAGACTTAATAGAGTCAGGAGCATGTTTGTGAATGCAAATTCCTCCGAAAACATTGAAAGCAATTTGCTGAAGCAATTAGAAACGTTGAAACATTCTAATGGCCAGGGACTGCCAGGACACAAATCATTTCGGAGTATTCACCTGGAAATGGAAGGAGCTTAAGTTCACTCAACCGTTAAGGTAGATAATACTCATATTTTTCAACAAGTCTTGACGCTTCGGACTGGCAAGATATACTATAATTTGGGTTGTAACTCAAAAAATTTTATGTTAATGGCACTTTCATTTAAAATTCTTAGTAATAAGGTACTTGGATTTAAACAAAAAAGATTAATTTCCACGCTGGGTTAACGGTGGGCCTCAGCTTTCTTGACTTTAATTAGGCCAATTTGTCCTGCTTTGTTGGACATTAGCTTAGTTCTGGCCTGACTGATTTTCGTCAAAATACTCTCAGTTAATTGCTTCCCAAACCAGAACTCCCTTCGACTTAGTAAGCCTAATTAGAAATTATAATTTCATCTAGGCGTTTGATTAATTATGAGAGTTTTCCAGCTAATTGGATTTCAATTAGTTGGCAATAATGAGGTTATTAAGCAGTGATACCAACTAAACCTATAATACTTTGAGAATTATAGTTACAAAGTTTAAAAATAATTTCTAATGTGTACCTACTCCTTGCAACCTAAATGGCTTTAGACACTTTGGAGTCGTAAAACTTAATGGTAATTTTAGTAAATGGGAATATTCTGCCATTCCAAGACCATTAGCGGACCCTCAAATCATTTATAATCTCCACTAATTGCGGCACAAACGCTTTATAAGTCCTGGACCCTGTTCGGCTAAAAGTTCATTCAGTAAGGAAATGTGGCAGCTGCTGTTACCAATTCTACTTCTGGCCAACGGCACCAATTGGTTGAACCCAATTCTGGCTAAAGGCTACAAGGATAAGCCCTTCGAAGCAGTTGTTTTACTGACCCATAGCCAGAAGGAATATGAACGAATGGATTTAAATTCTTCATGGCCTGTTTTGAATTTCAACGAAAAAATGGAATTTTTTCTGAAACAATCCTTCAACTCGGAAGTGCTAGTAGTGGTTTTTCAAACAGGAGATACTCGTTTGGATGATCAACTATGGACAGCCCTGGATCGGAATCTACTGAATATGAGAAGAGCCCGGCTCTTGTTGGTAAGAAAATGGGAGGAGAAGCCATCCGAAGAGTTAGCAAGAACCCCAGAGCACCTAAGGTTCATGTATGTGGCTGTAGTGGTCCGAGGAAATATGATATATCGCCTACAACCCTATGCTCCGGAAAGATGGAAGCTGGTGGACCTCAATCAGGGCTGTTTGCTACCCAGAATACGCAACTTTTATGGAAGACATATACTTACGCTGCCCGATCAAATGGAACCACGATCGATTGCCTATCGAAACAACGAAACTGGGGAAATCCAAATGACAGGCTATGTGTATAAGTTTTTCCGAGAGTTCATAAGGGTCTACAACTTCACATTCAAATGGGAGAGACCCATTGTACCTGGAGATCATATGACACTATTCGTCCTGAGGAATATGACTCTCAACGGAACCATTAACATGCCCATCAGCTTGTGTGGCTTTGAGAGAAGTACAAAGAACGGAGTTTTCTCTACGGTCCTCGATATGGAAAAGTGGCTGGTTATGGTTCCATGTGCCCACGAAATATCAACTGCCCAGGTTTATCTAGAAGTAACTGGCGGAAGATTTCTGGCTGTCCTCGTGATCTTTTACTATTTATTCACAATACTGGACACCTGCTTTGGGCCCGTAATACTCCAGACTCCGGTTAATTGGTCAAATCTTGTGTTTAACGAGCGCATCATGTCGGGGATTATAGGCCAGTCCTTCAGAATGAGTGCCACAAGAGCCACCAGTTCGAGGGTCACCAATGCCACACTATTCTTTCTTGGCATGGTCCTGAGTAGCTTGTATGCAGCTCACCTAAAGACCCTACTAACCAAACACCCGACCTCGCGACAGATCTCCAACTTTGAGGAACTCCGAGACTCCCCAGTCAGTGTACTTTTCGACGAAGCCGAACACTTCTATTTCGACAATATCGACAATGGACGACCCGTGGATGCTATCCGTTCCAAAATTTCGTTTATCAAATCCGATGAGTTTCATAAACTCAAAAGGGAAACCAATATGTCACGAGCATTTTCCACCTTAGTGTCGGAATGGCAAATTCTAGCCAAAAAACAGGAGTTGTACAGACAGCCGGCTTTTTGTTCCCTGCCAGGACTATGGATCATTCTCACTAATGTTCTTTTAACCGTGCCGATGCAGGCAAACTCTATTTACGAGGAGCCACTGAACGTTCACATCAATCGAGTTCAGGACGCAGGACTCTTGGAGCACTGGAAGAAGCAAACACTCCTCGAGATGGTCAACCTTAAAATTATTTCGCAAAAGGATCCTTTTCCCTATGTGGCTTTCCGGGAGTTTAAAGTTGGAGACTTGTTTTGGATTTGGTGTTTGCTAGAGATTTGTTGGTTAATTTCATTTCTTATTTTCCTCTGTGAGTTGTTGGTTTCTTTTTGGATGAAAAAATGTTCAAGAACTCCTGAAAATTAAAGTAAAAATGTACAGTTTTAAACTTTGAATATAAAGCACATTTCAGAGGCCTTAACTAACCCACAAAAAAAGATAATAAAACAAAAACTTTACCCAAACTTGTCAAATGTGTCATAACCCGGAGGTCTGAACTTTCAGCCCGTATACTTTCCAGACAATATTCGGCCCAGGCTAATGGGCTAATACCGTACCCCAACTTTGACATAAATCAAACATTTCACCAGATTGGGAATTACTTTCGAAAAATGTCACTACCGTTGCTGCTGCTGTTGGCATTGACGAGGTTTAAGCGTTTGTCACCGGATCGCACTTTTGTTTGTTTAGTTTTTGTTTTCGAGGCTTCAGTTTCGAGGCCCTCCCTCCCTCCGTCAGTTCGTCAGACATTCAATCATCCGGGTCTACTGTGGGATGTACGTTCATACGCCCCCATAATTGACGTTTTGCGTCGGAGTCTTTAAAGGAATCGGAGCGTCAGGGAGGGACACAGACAGTAACAGGATTTTCCGCTTATTGGCGAGTTAACGGGCTCTTTATGATGCCAGGACATTAAGGGAGCAGACAGGATGTTTATGGCAAAATCGATGCAGAAAATGTTCTTTTTTTCCTCACCAATGTAGAGAGAGAGAATATTAAAGCCCTATCTGATCAAGCTATGAATACATTTAATCCAGGCAAATGGCACAATATTCATCCAATTTAAAGTGCCACTTTTTTCCATGTAAAGCATTTTATCCTCTCTCTGGGAAAAAAATCAAAATCAATTTTCTGGCCTGGCCTGGCTCTACTTTACATGAATTTACAAAATAAAGCCACCACTCTGTGTTCGCAAAATCGAATTATTGATGCACTGAAAGCAACTGGCATTTGGCGTAAAAATTTTTAATTAAGCCCCGAAAACCCAGTCCGTATCACAGGCCGGTAACACTGAGTCCAGAACGTGGCTAGTTCGAAATGTCCTGTAATGCAATATGCAAATTAGCGGCTACAAACCAGCGTCCTGGCCCATGCCCGGAGCTGGGCACTCCCCTAATTGAACCACATTTCGGGGCTAATTGCAACAACAGCCGAAAATTTCGACATTTGCAAAAATGTTTCACATTGTTCTCTGCTTTTCAGCTGCAGGATATCCAGGCAAGCCCGCCAGGAGGCAAAATTTTGTACATTTCACGTTGGATGGCCTGTCGAAACAATGCAGCCAGAAATCTGAAAAATTAAATGCCTTTTGTAACAAACGTGAAATATTATCTGAGGGATTTAAAGTTATATGATGCTTTTAAGTAGCTTAACGATTGTCCATTTTCGGCCGGGTTGTGGATATTCCAGGTAACTGTTGGTTGAAGTTAGTGATTGAAATTTAAAGCTTCATATATACAAAAACATTCATATTAAAAATATTTTAATGGGCCACATTGCCCTTCCATTTTGGAAAGCAAACTCCTAGAAAATTTGGTAAAAATCTAAAAAATATTTTAGTCCTAGATTTTGATGCAAATTAGTGGAGAATCCATCCACAAATCGATTAAGGTATTCCACGCAAGAATCCGATCATTATTGAAAAAGATATAGCATTCAGAGTGGGTCACACTGCCCTTCCATGCGGATTCCCCATTTTTTGAAGGGGACCCCCTAGAAAATTTGGAAAAAATCTAAAAAATATTTTGTTTCTAGATTTTGATGCAAATTGGTGAAGAATCCATCCACAAATCGATTAAGGTAGTCCACGCAAGAATCCGATCATTATTGAAGAAGATATAGCCTTCAGAGTGGGCCACGCTGCCTTTCCATGCGGATTCCCCATTTTTTGAAGGGGACCCACTAGAAAATTTGGAAAAAATATAAAAAATATTTTATTCCTAGATTTTGATGCAAATTGGTGGAGAATCTATCCACAAATCTATTAAGGTATTCCGCTCAAGAATCCGATCATTATTGGACAAGATATACCCTTCATAGTGGACCACACTGCCCTTCCATGCGGATTCCCCATTTTTTGAAGGGGAATGGGGGAACCCCTAGAAAAAATCTAAAAAATATTTTATTCCTAGATTTTGATGCAAATTGGTGGAGAATCCATCCACAAATCTATTAAGGTATTCCGCTCAAGAATCCAATCATTATTGGAGAAGATATAGCCTTCAGAGTGGGCCACACTGCCCTTCCATGTGGAGTCGCCCTTTTTTGAAGTGGAACTCCCACAAAATATGATAAAAATATATAATTAATTAATTTTCATTAGTGTTTCTTGCTGAATGGAACCATTTAATTCCATTGCGCTGTAGATATTCCAAAGAGATGAAAAAACAATTGTTAATTGTAATTATTCCAGCCACAAATTGGCCTGTGTGTTAAATTACTCCTGTTTCCAACCCGCAATTTCCTGTGAATCGCATTAAATTGCGATCCAATCGTTGTGGAACATGCCACATGATGCACTAATTAACCTCAGCAATTAAATATTTAAAAATATATATATTCAAAGACTGAATTTTAAAGCTGCTTTAAAGTTTCAAGTTTCGGCAAAAAACACACAATGTATTCCAAATGGTGCCCCAAAAACTTTCTTCATGACAACATTGTTGCAAGAAGAGGAACAACTGCATAAATGTTGTATGGAGAAAACTTCTGAGAAGAGGGGGTGGGCGTGGTCAGCTCCCAGCCCGTCAGGATTTAGAATTCGTTTGCATTTGTTTATGCAAATCGTCCTAGAATCAAACAAACTGTCAGCTCCGACAAAAATTATATGCCAACAGTAAATAATGTCAAACTTTTTTCGGCTAATTAGTCGTGAATTTTAACGCACACTGTCATTTGCATAAATTTTGGCAAATATTCGGCTGGTAAAAGGCTCTGCGGTTCTTTTTGGTAATTTGCATTTGTTCTAATTATGAGCTCAAGCAATTAGCAGCCAAAAACTTTTCGAAGGCAGGGCTCAGCAAAAACAATAAACGGGAAATCAAAACAAGCTTAGAGCAAACACCTCCCTTTATAATTTGAAGAGTAAAAGACCTGGAGTAGGAGGAGCGTGGGCCTGGAGTGGAGGGAGAATCCCTCAGAGAAACTGTCAAAAACTCAATCAGAAAACTTTCATCTAAGCTGGGTTGAGTGGGTGGCAAAAGTTATAGTAGCCTTATTTTTCCATTCATCCCACCTTGGCTGGCATTATTAGCAAGTTCTATATGCAAATCAGTTCCAGGACAAAACTTTCAATGAAAGCAAAACAAGGCAAAGAGGTAGACAATGTTTACCTTACCCTCCCCACCCCCCAAGGACATTACCAGTTATGCTTTCCTTCTTTAGTTTAGTTTTCTTTGGTTTTCCATCACAATGCGAAAGTAAGTGAAATTGATGAATGCCCTACTGACAATGGAGTGCTTCGGTTGTCATTGTCTCCTTGGGGCTTGGTGGCTAATAAATGAATGGGATTTGGCTGGCCAGGACTCAGGCAGGCCTGGCCTGGACCATGCTGTGACATTTATCAAGTCTTTCACAAACTTTCATAAATTTTAAAGCCGCAAAAAGATACATATTTCTCTGTAACTTCAAGCCCTAATCCTCCGGCTTTCTTCTGATCTCCTAAGTTGCCTATTGATTTGTCAAGGCCTGGATTTGGTGCTGCACAGAGAATAAAATTTAATTAAATTAGAAAGAATATATAATTTATTATAGAAGGAAGATAGAAAAGAATATTTTTGAGAGCTCAACTGCTCGATCTTTTAATCTGAAATCCTCTTTAAAATATTATTGTATCCATACTTCCTCTGAGACATTTTTGTTTTGGTGATTTCTGGCTCTAAATCTTGGCTTTTTTCCCTTCTTGGCCATAAATCAATCCTGGGTGAATTTTGAAAGCATTAAAAGCATTACAAAGAGCGTCATTTTGTGGTTGTTGTATTTCTTGCGTGCTGCTGCTATGCTTGGGCTGCTTTTTCTGTCGCTGTCATGTCTTTGTCATGTTGAACAAAAGCCGCCATGGCGGCAGCCCAGTATTCACTGAATACGTATACGCCCTGTTGCCCAGGACTCAGGAGCCGGAGCCAGTAGCAGGAGCAGGATATAGGGACACAGACACATGCAAAGTGCGACAGTGCCAGGCAACCAAATGAATGACTGACTGAGTGAATGAATGAATGAATTGTGTATGGAAAGACCTAAGGCAATCTTTTGTCTGCCCGCCTGCCTTTCCTTTCGCCAGCCATTTGATTGTTTTCCATGTATATATCCTTCCAACTCCGTATCCTTCGCTACAAAATACACTATAAAAACAAAAGTCTTACACAATGCCACAGCAAGAGCTATTATATAAGCACCTGTTTATTGTTGGTTTTTCTCGGTGGACATCCTTGAGGCATTTTTTCTCATTTATATGCATTCGGTCCGCAGGATACAAATAGTAGAAGCGTTACATTATCGTTTTATATACGGGAGAGGTCAGAAAATGTCGTTCTGCAAAGATTGGATTCCGAACATTTTATTTCGAAGATGTGTTGCATGCAACATGTAGATACCGCAGGTTCTGGGCCAGAACCGAAACCAGCTTCATTTCGGTTTCGTTGGCGGGCAAAACAAGTTTGGCAGCTCTGGGCAACTGATAGATACACAGATACTTGAACAAAAGTGAGCTTAAATTTTTTGTCAGCAAACGAGAGTTCATTGCCACGAGATTACTGAGGGGAAGAAGATTCTCAAGTAAAGTCACTTTCCCAGTCACTTTCTTCTATTTCTATTTCTAGCTTTGGCTTTTCCTTCGCAATAAAACGCTTCTTCTGAAATTTAAAAATGCATTTCTTTCACCCTCTGTGCCAAGAACTGTGAATTCAAATGCATAAATCGAATGCATTCGTGCGAATTAAATAAAATGCCAGCTGCCATTATCCCATATCGAACCCACATTTATGCTCTGGCGTATAAATTGATGGCTGTGGCTGCTGCATCATCGCAAATAAAACATTCATTGGATTGACATTTTAAAATGCTTTCCATGCACACGCTGTCGTGCTACC